AAATTTATTATTTTTTAAATAAAAATATCCTTGTAGTTAGCTATTACAACAAAAATATTTTTTGTAAGCCCCGCTTATATGTATGAATATGCCTACAAGGCTAAAACTCTGTGGTGATTTACTTCTTGTCCTCTCCAATGAGCTACAGCTGTATTTAATCACATATTATTCTATGATTAAAATCAATAATAAACATTAGTAAGTATTCTACATGGTCTGGTACAGAAGGAAGTCCCTGGGGGAGAGTAACACTATAAGTTACCATGTTGGGTGACACCAACCCTAGTGAAGCTACTGCTTTTTCATGTACATAATTCTACCAAATTGTCTTCAATGCAATCTGGGCTTTTACTGTTAGGCACTTTAAGACTCTTCTAGCCTCTACCCAGTTCCAAAACTGCTTCCATGTTTTAGGTATCTGTTAGAGCAGCATCCCATTCCTCGTAGCAAATTCTGTCTTAGTTATCTAGTGCTGCTTATAATAGAAATACTTTTGTTAAAGTAGATAGTTTTAACAAATTTATTTTTCTCACAGTTTAGGAGGCTGGAAGTCTGAATTCAGGGCTCAGGCTCTAGGGGAAGGCTTTCTCTCTGTCAGCTCTGGGAGAAGGGCCTTGTCTCTTCAGCTTCTATTTCCTAGTTCCTTGGAGATCTCCATATGGCTTGGCATTAGTCTTCCCTTATCTTTGATTGCTAGCTTACTTTTTAAATCTCTTTTATATCTCAAAAGAGATTAACTCAAGATATACCCTACACTAATCCTACTTCATTTGCATAACAAAGAACCCATTCCCAAATGGGCTTATAACCACAGGTATAGAGGCTAACATTGACAATACATATTTTTTGGGGACGCAATTCAATCCATAATACCTCTTTTCTGCAGCTGACTGTTTACTGTGCATCTCTAAGATATTTTCTAGATCTCAACACAGAATGACTTGCACTTTCTATGTGCTTCTCCCATATAAGGTCTGTCCCTCTGTCCCTACAGAGAAAGAGTATGACTGCATAGCAGTAGTGGTCAACAAATTTGTCTTCACCACAAGAATGAGCCTCTGGAGAAGTTGGACCAAGCCTCCCTCCACTCTGGATCTCCTCGGCCTGGTCCAGGATGTGGTGTGGAGCACACGGGCTCAACCGGTGCTTGATGGGTGTAGAATGGGTGCTCAGAACCAAGTGGTTGAGTCCAGAAGCCTAAAATGCGTACTCTAGCATATACTCACAGCATCACAGTATGTGAAATGGAGGTGATCAGATGTATTAATCATTGATTTGGAAGGAAAATGTTTCCATAATACAGTATGTTTCTTTTTCTGAAACATACGTGTCCTCGTTGTATCATGAGGAAATAATTAGGTGTGTTTGATTTTAATCACATTCGTGAATGCTATCATTTATTCAAGGCTACTATGTGCTGCTCTCTTTATCAGTTCTTTACATAGGTTATGTCTACTATTCCCAATGACTCTAAGATGTCTTCATTATCTTCACTTTAGAGGTGAGGAAACTGAGGCTCAGAGATTAAGTAGTTTGCCCAAGGTCAGCTTCTAGTGATAGATGTGACAATCAAACAGGTCTCTGACTGGAAAACCAGTGCCTTTTCATCATCCTACAGTGTTTTTGATCCCATATTTTAGATACTGTTCTTTTTAGTACTCCAATCACATGCACATAACTTTACTCCTCTCAATCTTTCCTATGCCCAGCATGTCTTCCTGCTCCTCCTTTCTCTCCCCTCCTCTCTACACCGTTCTTCTCATTTCTTACAGCACCTTTTGGATTGTTGCCTCTGTATTTGCATCCTGAAACTGTAATGTTTTTGTCAATGTCAGTAATAATTAGACATTATTTTACATGGATATCTTCTGGTGTTAATCGTACTAATGTCATAGTTTGTGTTACTAAGTACAAAATAATACATTTTGTTAATCCCAAATTACATATATTATGGTTTTGTTTCCTTTATACAGTCTTTTGCTCTAATATTTTTTGAGTTTTTAAATTTAAAATACATGTTTTTCCTTTCATTTAAAATATAAATAGAAAAAAGTAGTGAGAGGAAGGTTAGTTAGATATTTTTTTCCTTCTGTTAAAAGTTGTCTAAGCAGTAGAATACCTATTTCAATTTATATATGAAATGCAAGACTGGAAAACTTCAATAAGATCTTTTTAAGAGACATTTAAGATGTTTCTAACAGACTTAAAGTCATTCATTTTCTGCCTCTCTTAGCATTTCAGCAGGGCTACGTTTTTTGAATCAGTGGATCAAGTTTTAATTTTCCTATTCCTTTCCTGTACTGACATATGCTTTGGCAGAACAAAAAAGAGACCTAAACATGTCAGCATGGTTTTTGTTCAATGAATTAAAAACCATAAAAGTAACAAGATCTGATCCAAATCCCTAAACTCCTGACACGGTGGTTTTGTCCTTCTCTGTCCCAAGATTCATGTTACTGATTTTGAAAAGCTTTCTGCCTGGAAGCAGAAGCAATGGCAGCAGTGCATGATTTATTTGAAATAGATTACAAGGGGTGGGCAGCATGGGGTCGTGGGGAGAACATGGACCAGAAAGAGCTGGGTTGGAGTCAACAGTGCTGCCACTCAGTCCCATGGGCAGGTCATTTAATATCTGTGGGCCTCGTGTTTCTCATTGGGAAATGGGGTGTTAGAATCTAGTTTGAGGAGTTGCTGTGAGGATCTATGAAGTAGCATACTTAAAGTGCTCATCTTACATTAAAAAAAAAAAAAAAAAGCCTTGTTGCCATCCAGTTAGTTTTGACTCATGGAAACCCCATGTGTTACCGAGTAGAACTGCCCCATAGGGTTTCCTTGGGTGTAATTGTTACAGAAAGTCACCAGCCCTTTATTCCGTGCACCTCTGGGAGAGTTCAAACCGTCAGCCTTCAGATTAGTAGGCACATGCACCACCCACTGTAGCCTCACCTACCTTACACAGAGGGCCTGAGAACGGTCATTAGGATCATTTTTATCTTGAGAGCATCTTTAAATAGCTGAATCCAGAAAGATTTATTTATAACACAGCTGCCACTTTGTCTTCAGAGCTTATCCTTTTTCAAAATTAAAAAAAAAAAAAAAATCATTCTATCAGGGAGAACTATTAGATGCCACCAAATCTTTAGTACCACACTGAACAGGTGCCTAGTACTTGAGATTTTATTTAGGCAACAAGAACTAAGGAGTTTTGAGGATCAGGGAGCATATACCAGTGATGGCCATTTCAAGACCCAAGGGATAGAGGAATTTTGTAAAACTTAATGGCTTTTGAGACAGCATTTGACATTATATAAGATACTGGACTTCTTTGGACCCCATTTCTTCTATAAAATAGGGTTCATGACCTCATAAGACCCTCCATGGTAAGGCTTTCAACCTTTTTTCTTGTCTTGTCACTTTCTTCTGTGTTGTCTGTGCACTAGCCAATACTTCAAATGGAAGTATTTGCAGCTTAAGCCTTTGCACATGCTCTTTCCTTTGCCTGGATGTCCCCAGGTTGGCAGTTTGTCAATTGTAGAATGACAGCTTGCATTCATTCTTCAGATGCCAGTTTGGTGTATTAGGATAGGAGGGGATGTGTTGCAGTAACAAACAACTCCAAAATCTCAGTAGTTTATGTGATGAACAAAAGTTCATTTCTTGCTCATGCTGCATGATGGGCACTATTCCTCGTAGTCATTCTAGCTGATAGAAACTCCGTTTCAGCACGTGCTGAGACCAAGTGGAGCACACCCTGGCTTTTCAGGCTTCTGACCTGAAGTGACACCCATCATTTCTGCTCACATTTTAACACCACACCTAACTCCACAGAGCGGGGAAATGCGTGTCTGTTGAGTGCCTAGAAGAATAAGAATGAGAATACTGGTGAACAGACCTAATGACTACCACATTTAGATAGCATTTCTTCAAGGAAGTCTTCCTTTACTGACTCCTCTCCAAAGTTGGAATCAAGCTCCCTTCTTCTGTGTTCTGTGGCACCTTGTACTTGCCCAGTTTCCTTGCTGCAACACTTACCACACTGTACTGTAGCTGTCTCTTGTCACTCTCCCTAGCTCCGATTCCTAAGAGCAGAACGCAATTCCATTGTGCTTATCACAGTACCCTCAGTAGCCCGCAATGGTTTTGATATGTTGTAGGTCCTCACTTTGTAAACGATGAAGAAAGGAAAGCAGGGCAATATGCTGGGCCGCTTTGCTAGGTGGCTGTGTGTAAGTGTAAAGTAAGGATGATAGTAACTGCCTCATACGGTAGTTGTAAGGATCAACGTACAAAGTTGCCTGACTGAGTATTTGGTTTACAGTAGGCCCTCAGTATGCTCATTGTTACTATGATAAAGATGTTAATTGTAAACATAAGAACCATTTATTAACCATTTACAATGTGCCTCATGTTACGATGGGTACTTTGTGGAGGTTAACTGGTACAGTGGTTCTTACGTATGATATTGGAATTCATGTTGTATCTTGGCTTTTGAGGTGATTCACCAGTAATTTGTGATAATAATCTTTAAGACTCTGAAAGTTGTTAATTACTTGGTTTGGGTGATTTAGAGATGATGCTATTCCTGTTGCATTGTGCATCCATTTGCACTGCCTTCTTTAGTGGGAGAGAAAGGGGTGGAGTTATGGCTAATAATTACCTACTTTTGTTTAACACTTAAAATGCAAGGATCAATGAAAAAAAATTTATGTGCATCAACTCATTTAATTCTCACACTAACCCCACCAAGACAGGTACTGATATAATCCTCGTTATATAGATGGGAACTCTGAGGCCCCAGTTATACAGCTAGTAAGTGGCATAGCCCTGGCTCATGCTTTTAAGCAATACTTTTACTCGTTTTCCTCAGATAACTCATTACTGAGCACACCTACGGGCACAGATCAAGAATGCTGAGTTAGTGGACAGAGTGATGTTAAATTCCTTGCCAGTAGTTTATGTACAGAATGATTTTATTGACTGTTCCTTTTGTCTTTTATTAGAGTAACTAGAGAGCACAGAGAGATGCTGGTGAAGCTGGCCAAACAGAACACCAACAAGGCCAAAGATTCCTTAAGGAAGGTTCGTACCAATGCAATGAATAAGCTGAGGAAATCAAAGGACAAGGCCTCGGAGGACACCATTAGACTCATAGAGAAACAGGTACTGTTGCCAACAGAGTGTTGGGTTATGTATCTGACCTAGTGAATAGTTTATACATATCTGAAGTGAGGAAAATCAAAACAGAATACCCATTTCTTTCATTCATATGATCAACTTTGACTAAGTTCCTGCCCTGGGTCTAGCCTGGGAATATGAAAAAGGATAGGAGACTTTGGAACTTTTACAATGTGCCAGGCTCTGTGCTGAACACCGTACATTGTTTCATTTATCCTTGTGTGAGGATAAATAAAGCTGGGAGGTGGGTAGTGAGGGAACTGGCCCTCAGAGTGACTTGCCCCAATTAGCACAGCTGGTATGTGGTAGAAATGGGGCCCAAACACAGGCAGACATTCCAAGCCTGCTCTCTGTGCCCTCCAGTCTGTCACTGGTTTTCTGGGTACTGAGAATGAGCACCTAATGGTGTTCTCAGTGTGCCGAGAAGTGGCACTTGAACAAGTCTTGAAGTACTGGAGAAAATAGTAAGAGACAGGGGTGAGGGTAGAACAGCATATGCAGAGCTGTGCTCATGTAAAAGAGCCTGTTCAGTTTGATCACTGTAGCTTGACCGTAGGATGAGACTAGAGAGTGGACAAAGAAAACAGAATGGCTGGCTCATAGAAGGGTGAGGAGTTTGAACTTTAATGTGTCCAGAGTTTCCCACATTGCTCTGCATCTGTATCAGTCACCCCCAGTAATGCTACATAAGGAACTACCCCAAAACTCAATGATTTGCAACAGAAACCTTTGCTGCTTCTTCTCGTTTCTTTGGGTCAGCTGGAGTTCAGTTGTTCAAGGCTGGGCTCACTGGGCTTGGCTCCCGATCTGAGATTGGGTCAAGTCTGCTGTACATACTTCTTGATATTCTGGAGTCAACCAGCTTTCCGGGTCATCATTTCATGGCAGTAGCAGATGCCCAAACAGTAAGCCTAACATTTTTTAAAGGCCCACCAGATGATTCTGATACAGTAACTCCTTTGAAAGACTTGTTCAAGTGCCACTTCTCGGCACACTGAGAACACCATTAGGTGCTCATTCTCAGTACCCAGAAAACCAGTGACAGACTGGAGGGCACAGAGAGCAGGCTCTGAATGTCTGCCTGTGTTTGGGCCCCATTTCTATCACATACCAGCTGTGCTAATTGGGGCAAGTCACTCTGAGCCCTAGTTTCCTCACTACCCACCTCTCAGCTTTACTTATCCTCACCCATTTTTAAGTATCTGCTCGTGTCATATCTCTTAACATCTTGGCCAAATCAAGTCATACCAGTCAAGCCCAGTATCACTAAGGCAGGGAAGTGTATGTTCATGGAGGTTGGGGGAGGGGATGAGTATGTATTGAACAATAAGTAATGAACCACAGCATTATGATCACCTAGGGAGCTTATAAACATACAGGTATTTGAGGCTTTATTCCCAGAGGTTGATTCAGTGAATCTAGACTGGGACCCAGGAATCTGCGTTCTTTAAAGGCCCACCAGATGATTCTGATACAGTAATTCCCTTCCAAGAATCTTCTGGAGGAGGAAGAGGTGAGACCTGTGTTTATGAAAGATAACTGTGGTGACCAGGGTAGGAAACACTGCAGAGGATAAGACTGGAAGCAGGGAGCCTTGGGAGGCTGTTGCAGAAGGCCAACCCGGAAATGATGATCTGAGCTTGAGTGATACAGTGGGAATTACTGAGTCAGGAAGAGATTTACGAGTCCTTGTGCATGTGTGTGGTCTGCCTATAGTTGATCCTCACCTCAGAGTGGCCCCATTTGACAGAGTTGAACGGCCCCATAGGGTTTTCTAGGCTGTAGTCTCTGCAGAAGCAGGTCACCAGGTCCGTCTCCTGCAGAGCCACTGGGTGGGTTTGAACCTCCAACCTTTCAGTTAGCATCTGAGTGCTTAACCTCTGGGTCACCAAGGCTCTATCTGGAAATAGAATTTGTAACGTTAAGCATGATGTAAAGCTCTCAGCTCCGGAATCTCCTCATCCATGATAAAGCATTATTTTGGAAGATTGAACAGGAGTGTGGGCAGAAAGGAGAACGAGAGGCAAGAAGTGGGAGGCAGGGAGTGGCATCAGGGGGATACCTGGGGAGGCCATAGCTGACTAGCTGCTCCCCTTCTCCTGGACCAGTACTTGAATGCCAGCCACCATCACCTAGGAAGGATTTTAGATAGATCCCTGGGCCCTGCTTCTGCATTTTCTGATTTGGTAATATGATGTATACTTTTAAAAAGCTCTCCAGATGACTCCTTAAAAGCAAACATGAAAAGTAATGACCCTGACAATTTATGCTAGAGTTAGGGAGAAGTTGTTCTGTACTTGAATCCCAGTGTACTGTGACCTTGGAAAAGTTACTTGACTCCTTATAATAGTCTGTTTCTTCTGTAAAAAGGAGATGGTAATTCCTAACTTGAAGGAATTAGATTGCCTGGCACCCAGATTCTTAAGCTTTTTTTTTTTGTCCTTTTCTGCTGCCCTCTTTCCCTGCATTATCTGAAAGAGGAGGTTCATAGACTAGGCTGGCCGTTTATGAACACTCGTCAGGCCTCTTAAGACTCTGGCCCCTGGCCCCGCCTGGGCCGGTCCTGGTTTGTCTCCCAAGGTTCTTGTTGTTGTTATGTGCCATCGAGTCGGACCCAAATCATAGCGACCCCTCCTTGGGTTTCCGAGACTGTATCACTACTGAAGTAGATTGCCCCATCTTCCTTCCAAGAAGTGGCTGGTGGGTTTGAACCGCCAACCTTCTGGTTAGCAGTCAACTGCCTTAGGCACTATGCTACCCTGGGTACTACCCTCCATTTCTGCCGTTGGCACTTTGCCTTTGCCTTGCTTCTGGATGGTAAGCCTGTGGGCCTCTGGGCCTGCCAGGCGTGCTTCACTCAGCAAGTTAGGCTATCTGCTTTGGGGGCCAGAGTGGCTCCTTGCAAGAAGAATGATCAGATAAGCCAGGGACCCCTGCATAACCCGCAGTCTAGATAACACTCTTCAAAAGACCTTGCTGGTGGAGGGAAAGCTGGGCAGACAGGAGTGCATAGTTAAGAAGGACACAGGGAGAAAGGGTCACAGGGAAGGGAAGTGAGGAGAGTGGTTTAGGGTTGGAGATGGTAATTGGGGAGTGAAACCAAATGTACACTAACTGTTGAATGTAAAACAAATTCTGCTTTGTAAATTTGCACCCAAAGCACGCACACACACACACACACACAAAGACCTTGCTGGAAGCCTTCATTCCTTAGCATGGGCTTTTCACCTTCTCTTCAGATTAGATGTTTTTTCTTCAGTGTTGCTTGCTGTCGATTAGTACTATTTTTTGAAAATGAAGATATTATTTTTTCTGCTATGAAGTTAATGCATGTCTACTGTACATTTTTTTTTCTTTTTTTTTTTTTTATTAGGATTTGGGTGAAGATTTACAGAGTAAATTCACTTTTCATACAGCAGTTCACATATACTTTGTGTCATGTCATTGACCAAAATTTACAATGCAGCAGCTCCCCTCCCACTTCCTCCCCATAGTTACCTCTTCCCAGTGTCCATCCCTTCATACTCTTTTGCACCCTAAGCTATCTCCCTGTGCCTAAGCAGCCCTTCCTTCTCCCATGATTGTTCTCTCCAGGGCGTGTGTCTACTTGAGGTAAATGTTTAACTCACATGCCTGTACTTTGTTTGGCTGGAAACCACAGTTGTGGGTTCAATTCCAGACCTGAAGGGCAACTAGGGGCCATAGTCTCAGTGGTTACACCAGGCTCTATGGACCAGCAAACCTGGTCCCCACCTTCTTTTTTTTTTTTTGCCTCCAAATGATTTTGAGTTTTGTACTACATTGTTCTCCCTCTTTATGCAGGATCTCCTACATCCCTTCCAAGTGGATGGCAGTGGTAGCTGGGCACCATCTAGTTCTTCTGGTCTCATAGTTGTATAGGTTGCAGATCGGATGGTGTACCAGTCACTAGGACTGATTGTTTCCATTAATTTTGGTTTTCTTCTTGACGAGGAGAGACCCGTTGTTGCATCTAGACGGCAGCTTCCTAGCTTTTAAGGTCCCAGTCGCTACTCGCCAAAGTAGTAGGTGGAACAATGTTTTGTATAGTATGTTACTGTACATTTTTTAAAGAAAATATTTACCATTTGAAATCTCCCCACTGAGAGATGACCACTGTTAAAATTTTAGTACACAGACTCCGAGCATATATGTAACAGTACAAAAGAAAATATGTAATACATACTACATGATATTCCGTGGATATCCTTCTACTGCAATAATCTTTAAATGGTAGTTCTTACTTAATGTAAGAAAGTTTTCAAGAAACTGCCTAGTATATACTTGATTTCGTTCTTTTTTAAAATTTTTTCCCAACAGAAGGCACCAATCTGGAGTTTTTAGTATGTGTGTGTTTGTGAGTTAATAAACAAAACAGCGGCTGATTGTTGCTTCATCAAACAGTTTTAAAACATTTATTTGTTTACTTTTGTCCTGATTATCAAAGGAATGTATGCTCCTTGTAGAAAGCTTAGAGAATCCAGAGGAGTATTTTTTAAAAATGGGGACAATTAATCACATTATCCCACACCCCAGAAGCATCTGCTTTTAACGTGTTGGAATATTTTTTCCTCATTTTGTTATTTTTTAACTACATAGTTTTTAACATGGTTCCCAACATATAGTACACATATAATATTGTGTCCAGCTTTTCATTTTCTGTTTTGGCATTAAAATCATTAGCTTTTTCTTATGTCTTTAAAAACTCTTTGTAAACAGCCATTCCCAGTGGCACAAAATAGTCTGTTTTGTGGTTTTACCATAATTTACTTTCATAAACCCTCTTTTTGGACATTTAGTTTGTTTAAATTTTTTTGTTATTATAAGCAAATTTGTAGTGACTGTACGTAAATCTTTTTGAGATGATCTCCTTAGGTCAGTGTCCCAAGTGTGGAATGACTCCACAAAGGTAATACGTGCACTTAGGACACTGGGTACATACTGCTTCAGTCACTTTCAGAGTTTCTGGAATATGTGTACTTTTCTAAAAATTTTGCCTTTCCTAGCTAATACTGGTGCCTAGGATTTTTAATGTGAGCTTGAAACATTGCTTATTTTGGAAGTATGGCTTTTACTTCTGCATTCCACAGAGAGGTTTGAGTTATTCTTTATTTAAATTCATACAACCTTTCCGGGGGATACTATGTCAGTGTATACCAAAAGCTGTACATTTCTGATTTGGTGACTTAAGAATTTATTCAAAAGAAATTGTTAAGAATCTTTTTTACGAGGCTCTTTAGGGTCACTATGAGTTGGGATCGACTCGATGGCAATGGATTTGGTTTTGATTTGGTTGTTGATGTATTTTTAATAGTTGAAAACTGGAAATTAAATTTCTAACAGTAAGAAAATAATTTTTTTACATCTATTCAGTGGAATTTATATATACAGACAGCTATTAAAATATTTGACAGACTGCAATTATTTTGATACTTACAGTTTTTTTAAAAGGTAGGTTACAAAACAAAATTATAAAATGATTTTATTTTTATAAAGAAAAGTTAGCATGTATATAGAGATTGGTAGTTTATTCACACCAACTTATTAACGATGATATTCCAGGTGATGGGATGATGAACAGTTTTAATTTTTTTGCTAAAGTTTCGTTTTTAATTTTCCAAAATTATTTTTGGTTCAGGTTTTCTAAAGCTTTATTATGAAAGTGCTTCATCTTTGGCGTGTAAGAACGAAAGGATTCAGATGTAGGTTTCATGCCTGCAGTCATAGCTGCCCTCCCCCCAACCTGGCCAACCCCCAGCCCAGGGCAGCTCTGCTCAGGAAGGACCAGTGCCTTCCTGCTCATGATTCTGACATCTGCCAGCCTGCTGTCTCACCTTAACTTTATTTTGCCATAAATGGGCCTGCTGAACATTGAAAGCACTTGGCAGAACCCACTGGTAACTCTGGCCAAGATCCTTTCACTGCTGCCTCTCTCTGAGAAAGAGTGCTCTGAAATGAGGGAGGCTGGGTGCTCGTGTGGCTGAAGGAAGGAAGGGCTCTTGGCAGCCTAGGTAGGCAGGGAGGCTGGGCTGGGTGAGGCAGCGGGCGGGAGCAGCACCGGTCAGCATCATGGCTGTTCTGAGTTGGGCCCCCGAAGGATGAGTTGTACCTGGACCTGTCCCAGGAGTGTACTGTGTGCTCCTGCCATTCCCCTTCTCTGTCCCCGGCTTTCATTATCCTGAATTTATAAGGAACGAAAGTGATGTTGATGATGACAATGATAATGTTGATGGTTGTTATAACCTTTACAAAGCAGCATATTATGATGGTGTGAGCTCTTGGCTTTGGAGTCAGACAGATCTGGATTCAAATCCTAGCTCCTTGACTTCTCAGCTGTTAAGGTCAGCAAATTGCTTCACCCTTCAGAGTTTCTATTTCTTCATCTTTAAAGAGGAACTAGTAATGCCTTTCTCACAGGATTAGTATAAGGATCTAGTGACACAACACACTTAACAATGGCTGGTATGGTTACTGGTCTCCAGTCATTGTCCACTCTGTCCGCCCATCTCACTCCTCTCCCATCCTGTGACTGCATATGAGGCCGGCATCGACTGCTCTAACATGCTAACACAGACTGCCTAGAATGAGGAAGGGCTAGGCCAGGTGCTGTGGACCCCTCAAGGGAGTAGGCGCACCATCCTGGCAGGTGGGAGTGGGTTAGTTCTTCCCTCCGCCACACCAGTGACTTTCTGTGTGATCTTGGGCAGATCAGATAACAGTCTGTGCGTTGGTTTACTGCTCTGTATAATGGTGATAATGCCTGCCCCACCTGCTTTATAGAGATTATGTGAGGCTACTGGATTCAGATGACATAACAGAGGATAAAACACTTTTGTACAATATAAAGTATTATGCAACTGTCATGTAAAATAATATCCATAAAATATTAAAAAGGGATAATAATAATATTTCATATGTTGCGAGGATTATGTGAGATAATACGTGTGACGTTTAGCCCAGCGTCTGGCAGGTAGTAAGAGCTCAGTAAGTGATAGCTGTTGTTGAGAAGTCTGATAAAGATGGAAAAGAAAGTTAGTAAATATTTTCACTGATTGATTAATTTAAAAGGAAGTCAGGAAGTGATAGTAAAAATCACAGTGACATAGCATTTGCAAAGCAAATGACCAGTTTAAAAAGTGCTTGTGTATTTGTGATTTTGTTTAACCCTCATAACTACTTGTACTCCCTGAGGAAGGGACTGGTGTCTCCATTGGATAGATGAGGAAAGTGAGACTGTGTGGAGTGACTTGCATAGTGTCTCCCCACTGAGGCTCCAGCCCAGCACCTCTGCTATCAAATCCTTACCCTAGATGCTCCCCCCAGTTCCCACCCCCGTCCCCGGACTGCTCTCAAACCCATTTTCTCCGAGGAGGCTGGTAGCCCCCATTCCTGGCTGGTCCAGGCTGCCAACCCGCCGGTGCTGGAGTGCTGCCGGGCACCTTGCCTGAGGCAGGCAGCTGCGGAGGGTGGAAGCAGCTTGAGGGTTTGCGCTGGCTGAGTGAGGAGGACCCCAGGAGCCGCTCGGAGCTTTGCTTTCCCAGCTGAGAAATGTATGGCTTGTTGCTATGGTAAGAGCCTGACTGCTGCCTGGGACCAGTTGTCCCAAGTCCTTTTTCCTTTCTGCCCTTTCCGATGAATTTCAGTTCCTAATTCCTGTCCAGGACCTGTGGTCTGCAACTAAGGATGTCCAACAGCCGCTGTGCTGCGGGGCACGCAGATCCTGGACTCCATGCTTTCCCCTTCAGGGCTCCCTGCCTCGGGCTTCCTGCCTTCGGTCCCTTCTAGACGTGGGAAGGAGGCTATAGCACTTGCTAAACTGTAGCATGTTTTATTTTTCATTCTTAGACGGAGTGCATGTTTGTTGCAAAAAATCGGGAAAATATGAAAAGCACAGAAACAGAGGATTTGAGTAATTACCCACCTTATAAACATTTGCTGAGAACTTCCGTGTGCCAGGTCTCCTGCTGGGTATGGCAGGCCCAGACATGAGTAACGTGTTACCTGTGCTCCCATCACTCAAAGATAACCACTATTCGCGTTTGGCACGTTTACTTCCAACGTTTAAAATATGCACCTTTTCTTGGGATGTATTGGAATAATTACTACTATAATTTTATATTGCACTTTTTAAAATTTGCATGGTAACATCATTTTTTAAATGATGCAAGTAATATCTTGAAACATTATTGAAAAACAAAATTTTTTTTCTTGCTTAAAAAAACAATCCATGCTTATTCTAAACCATTCAAGCCTCTCAGAAATATATAATGAACTCTTTTCACATTTATACCCTGACCACTAAGCATAACCTATCTTAACCATTTTTAATGGCTATATATATATTCAGATACTTTCCCATTGTGTAATTTTAGATTTTCTGACTTTTTATTATTATAAATAGGGATACATATCTTTGCCTATAGAACTGAAGACAGTTTTTTCAGTCGTGGTAATGTCCCAATTGAGAGATTTTGGGGTTAAACGGTATGAACTTTTGCAACAGTTTGAATTTCTCTTGGTGATATGTGAGCTTATCCATTTCACCACAGCTTGCAGGCGTTGAATATTGTCATTAAAAACCACAGCATCAAAGTTTGCTAGTTGAATTGTATCTAGTTTTAATTTGGATTTCTTCAGTATTTATTTAGTTTTCCATGTTTGTTAACCAGATGTACTTCATCATTTTTCAAGATTTTTTTTTTTTTTTTTGGCTTAACTATTGAGATCTTAATATTTGTTTCATTAATTAGTATGAGAGCTTTACAACAGAGTGTCTGAGATGGAGAAAATTCTAGGCGCTCATTAAGAGAAACATAAGGCTGGCTTCCCTGTATTATATAATAATAGTTAAGAATTTAGGGCTGTGCAATCAAAGTTAAATTTATCAAAATTTTAATCAAAATTAAATTTTGTTGCTACACTTTCTACTTATGTGTCCTTGAACAAGTGATCTAGCTGCCTCAGTTTGCTCATCTGCAATATAAGGATAATGGTATGTATTACAAGATTATTGTTAGGAATCAGTAAGAGTGCATATATAAAGTTTTTCATAAAATGCCTTAGTAGGACCTGACTGATGTGAGCTTTTATCACTATTAGTATTTCCCAGCTATCCTATTCATAATTCTGGAATATTTGTCCTCTCACTCTCTTCCCCTCCCAGTTAGGAGACCGTCTCATTTTGTGTTTCTGCAGATCAGCCAGATGGCCGATGACACGGTTGCGGAGCTGGACAGGCATCTGGCTGTGAAGACCAAAGAGCTCCTCGCTTGAAAGTCCACAGGGGCCAGCAGCACGCCAGAGCTGTTTCTGGTGGATCCCGTGGGTGATGAATTGGGAGTTTCTGCGTCTGCGTGGAATGCTGGCACCCACTCAGTTGTTGGTCCCTGTGAAGCCCGGCCTTCCAGTGGGACACCTGGGCTTGCTCACTTTCTTCCTCTTGGCTCTCGCCTGCTGTCGGGGGTGGCCCTCAGAGAGTACTGCTGGTAGAGGGTTGTTCACTTGGGGCATTTGTCTTGACTGTAACATCACCAAGGAACTGGGACCATTGGCAGAGTTGCTCCTTGTCTCAGAAATCTCCTTTTCAAACAAGCCTCCTGTGTCCAATTTGAACTCTGCTCGGGGCTGATGTGAGTCTTCACTTGTAACTGGACACCTTTGCTAAAGGCCCATTTTCACTGAATAATAAACTCTTAAATAAATTGGAAAAAATAAAAACCACAAAGGAAAGGATAGAGTTGGTCTAGACTGATGATCTCTCAGGACCTGTGCTTTTTTTTTGCCACGTTGTCATCTTAACTCATGGTATTTTCTTTGCCTGGAACATTCTTCTGTTCCTCCTCACCTAGCCAGTCTTGTTTATTCTTTCGGTCTTAGCCTGGATATCATTACTCCTTGGGCAGTCTTCCTTGTCCTGCTAACGAACCTACGACCCCAGTTTTGGCTCTGATAGCACCATCTACTGCTTTTATCTTTTTTTGTTAATTAGTCCATGTCTCCTCAGCGTCCTTAGAACTTGGCATAGTGCCTGGAACTGGATAGCACGTAGTAGGTACTCAACAAGTACTGGCCTCTTTTCCTGTGTGTCATTTTTCACTCTTGCCCTTGTCCTCAACATTTACATGGAATGGAATGCCTTTGCCCTTGGGCCTGCCTGTTGTTGGCAGACAGGTGGTTCACTGTGGTTTATCTCTGGTTGCTCAGTTAAGTTGTTTTTCTTTTTTCCCTCCAATATTTTCTCATTCATTTATAACACAGCCACCATGAGCAAAGTGTGGTTCTGGGCAATATTTTAATTGTTTATGGTAAACTTGAAAGACATGTATTATATCCATTTTACAATAGGAAAACGGAGGCTTGACAATATTAGGTAACTTACCTAAAGTTTCAAAATCCAGGTAAGGGATACAAGGCTTCATTATCTGTAATCCATTAAACAACTGTGCAAGATAAGAATTGTCAGTCTTATTTTACAGAGACGGAAGAGTTCAAAGAGGTGAAGTTTCTTGTCCTGGGTTACAGAGCTAGCAAGTGGCAGGGCTGGGGTTCAAATTAAGGCCTGATTTGAAAGCTGTGCTCTGCCCGGCATCCTACTGCCTTCATGAACGTTTAGTGAGCACCAGCTCTGGCTCAGGTACAGTGCTACATGCTGGAAATACATGGACGAGCTGTGACCCCCTGGCTTGGATGCACTGGACTGAGTCGCTGTCTTCAATGTCTTGGTAGAAAGATCGAAGTTCAGTCCAGTCTGCCGGGTGTCTGTGTTCAGAGTGGAACCCACCGTGGCCACAGCAGGACCTGGCGGAATTCCTTCAAAGGAGAATCCAGCTGCTCTTTGCTGTTTGACTCCACCCAGACTCTGTCCCCTGCTAGAGGTAGTAAGGGCTGCACTCCTCGCTGGTCATTATGGGAAACAAGCTACCAAACAGCCAGTGAGGGTATGAGACCAGAGTTAGGTTGGAGATGAAGGACACTAACAGTTTCCTGTCCTGCTTACCTGGCCTCAATCAGACCCCATTCACCAGCCAAGTGGCCATCACACTCTCAGAAATCTTAGCTGTAAGAGGGATGGATGGAAATAGCCGTCAAGGAGCCTGTTTGGGGGTAAGCTGCATGGCAAGGACTTTGTAATAGTGTCATTGTGAGTAGTCGAAATCCCCCACTCATTGCAAATGTTCTCAAAGATGCAGGATTTTTTAATAAACAGAGGAAATGATAAATTATATTGTAACTCCACCCCAAAGGCATTTGGTTCTTAACAGCCAAATCCTCTGTAGTCTTTAAATAAACAAAAACTTATTTGGTGAACAGACGGGGGAGAAAATGAAAGATTTTCTGTACTTGGGTTCCACATGTCAACAATTTCTCTCCTGTGTGTATGTTGGCCAAAACCGTATATCATGATAAATGAATAAAGGAAAACCTTGGGCCCAGGGCAGTCAGACAGCTCAGCAAATGGCTTTCAGCTGATTGCTGTATTTCGGTTGACATTTATCAAAGAGTTTCTCTGTTATTCCGTGTTTCAGGCTGTGGTGGTGGCACAGGCAAGAATAAGACTACCTGTTTGGATGTGCTGAGTAATGAGTTTGCTGGAGCAATTCCTCCTCCCCTTCTCCCTCCCTCAATCTCCCTTTCTCTTTGAAAAAGAAAAGCTGGGCATGGAAATTCTCACAGTTGCCAGAAGAATTAGCCACCTCCTCTGTTCAGTTCAGCAGCTTTCAAAGTCCCGTGAAAAATTTGGGGCAAAGAGAATTCAGGAACTTTTTTCCCTTGTGTGTATGTGTGTGCGTTGGAAATGACAGAAGAAACTGGACTGTAAAAAGCTGACAAAAGCCTCACGAGTCCCTAAGCTGCTCCTGTTTAACAGTTAGATGTGCATCCTAACAGACCTTTCTGTGTGCGCGGGTAATTACAAAGAGGAGACTACTCTGTTTGTGTTCTAAAGCTTGCTTACTTCATCCAGCAATGTAGTTGTCGGTCCATGTGTGCTTGTACATACAGTTCATTCTATTTCTCTGCAAAATGCGGTATTCTACGGTGTGGATCAACTGTAACTTACTTCACTATACTCCTGTGGTATTTTCTTTAAAAAATAATTTCAAATGCGTTGAAGGATGTTACTATTTGAAGATGACTTCCCCCCCGCCTCCTTGGAGAAAAACATCAGCTATTCTAAGTGTGTTTGTTCCGTAAATCCTGCTGCTCCTCCCTGAACTCCAGCCTCAGGAACCTTCATTAAATGGCTGCTGTGGGCCAGGCACAATGCTAGGCCCTTTCCATCGGGAGTCCCCAGGTGGTGCCGATGATGAATGTGCTCAGTGGCCAACCGAAAGCTTAGAGGGTCAACCCAGAAGACCCTCGGAAGAAAAGTCTTGGATCTGATTCTGAAAAGTCAGCCACTGAAAACTACATGGAGTGTAGCTCTCTGATACACATGGGGTCACCACGAGTCATAATCCACTGGCTTCTGCTAACTGGTAACTGGTCATACGTGTCACTATGTTTAAACTTCCCAGCAGTTGTAGTGGGTGTGTAGTGGGTGTAGGTATTGCTATGATCTGTGTTTACATAGAAGAAAACTGAGGTTAACTTGCTAGGAAGTGCCAGAGTGAAGTTTCAAAGCCGGTGAAGTTTCTGACTTTGAAGTGGATTGTACGTCGCTTCAGTATGTCTTCATTGAGCATTTACTCAAAATGGACCTGGCACTATTCTGGACCCTGAAGGAGATAAAAGAGAAGCAGAAATCTCATGTTCATAGAACAATCAGCTATACTAAGAAACAGAGGTATGTAAAACACTCAGCAGAGTCTCTGAAGAAATGGTGGCTCTTCAGAGACAGTACGATTACACACCTTACCTGCTTGACAAATCTTCCTCTCCAGAATGTGTTGGAGAACCAGGGGTCAGCAATGACCACCAAGCTGTGAATAACAGCAACAATATTGACAACATCAATAACTAGTATTTGCTTGGTAGGATGTAGTTTTCAAAAAGCTGCTACATCCGTTGGCCCATTGAAACCACTGAGTGAAGCTTTAAAGTTAGAAAGTCTGTGCAAAAAGCCTCACTCTGATCATAAAAGCTCTTCATATCTTCAGAAGCCATTTATTCTTTTTGCCCAAGCATATGGTCACTTTCATGATGTGCACTCGAAAAAAGATGTCTTATTTTGCGGGGTACAAATTTTGAAATGTATATAGAAAATGTGTGTTACAAATCATGTTTTCTGTATTTTATTTTTTGACCCTTTGATGAATCTTGGACAGAAAATGGTATGTGTCAGTCTCCTACCATTAGTATTTCTTATATCCCATGATTTCTGCTTTAAGGAGGGGCTGCTGTGTGATCTGGTGTTTAGACATCCAAGCCCATCTTCCTCATTCAGTGCTTTGAGTCTGAATTCTATCTTGTATATCAAGATCACCACCTTTCTGTTTGCATTTGCTCTGTGTATTTTTCCTCATTCTTCTATTTCTACCCTTTCAGAATCACTGTTTTAGGTGCAGTTTTTTTTTTTTTTTTTCTAATTATGATTTGGGTGAAAGTTTACGGAGCAAATTCATTTTCCATACAGCACCTCACACTTTGTCTCGTGACATTGACTGCAATTTCCCACAATGCAGCAGCTCCTCTCCCATTTCCTCCCCATAGTTACCTCTTCCCTGTGTCCTTCCCTCCCATGCACTCCTGGCCCCTGAGCTGTCTCCCTGTGCATACACAGCCCTTCTAATCTCCCATGATTGATCTCTCCAAGGAGTGTATCTACCTAATGTAAATGTTCAGCTCATATGCCTGTCTTTTGTTTGGCTGGAAGCCACAGGAGTGGGTTCAGTACCAGACCTGAAGGGCAGCTAATGTCAGTGGTTCCACCAGGCTCTATCAGACCAGCAAACCTAATCCCTTTTTTTTTTTTTCATGATTTTGAGTTTTGTTTTCACATCGTTCTCCCACTCTATCTAGGATCTCCTACACAGATCCTTCTCCAAGTAGTTGACCGTGGTAGCCAGACACCATGTAGTTTTTCTGGTCTCATAGTCATATAGGCTGATGATCACATGGTGTACTAGTCCCTTGGACTAATTGTTTCCGTGCATCTTTTGTTTCCTTCATTCTTCTTTGCCCTGGATGAGGAGAGACCCATCGTTGCATCTAGATGGCTGCTTGCAAGCTTTTATGATCCCAGTTGCTACTCGTCAAAGGAGGATGTGGAGCAGTGTTTTTGTGTAGTATGTTATGCCAGTTGAGCTTGGTGTCCCCCTGGGAGTATGGTCCCA